CTTATCGAACAAGGAATCGCGTTATCTTATATCCTATAATTTTTTTTATTCGATTAGACATGTACTTTATTTTGTTTCCTTAGGTATGTTGCTTCTTTTTCCTATCGTTACTATTACTTTCGTTGCATAATAATTTATGCATTACATTTATTCTTAAACTTTACTTTTCACAGGTCAAGAGTTTCTAACTAATATAAACGAAGATGTCGAAGGTGCGCAAAATATTTTCTACTTAATATTTCTTATCAAACGCAACTTTCTGTTAACTTTGCAGCTTTCTTTCCCAAATTTATCAAATTACCTAATGTTGAGGAATTGAATGATCTCCCCAACCCAACCCATTGAGGTTAGAGAACAGGTATTAGATAGTGACTTGGCCAAACTCAAAAAATATATTATTCGGAGCCCACAAGTCAGTATACCAGAATTATGTCGCCTTTTTGATGGGGCGATCACTTCACCATCACCATCAGGTTCAGTTGCTAACAGGCATATCACATGGGATTTGTTGGTTAAAATACCTCTCGAAGTTGTTTCTTCTCTTTTTCACATCAAAATTATTTGTGATCGTGACAAACAAGATTTATCTACGGCTACAATACGTTTAAAGAGGCCAGACCTTTTTGGTTGGCTGAAATCCGCATTGGTATTTAAAGGAGAGGAGAAGGAGGCCTTAGAAGACATTGCAAAAGCAGAACATGAGTTGTTAAATAAGGCTAAATTATGGAATCCTCTTTACTTTGGAAATCTTCAATACATCTTTGCTTATGTCGCTGCCGGAAATTTTATAAGGTTCGCTCTTAATATGCGTTTTTTGTAATTACGCGATAATAATACGTCTCTTCGTGTCAGATTTTATGCAATTGACAGATCCTTAAACATCAAAGTCGTTAGTCAAGATTTTGACTTGTCGCTTGTAGTTGATCGAATCTTAACGGTAGTAACGTCCATCAATATCACTCGGTGTTTACTGCATTTTATCCCTCAAATACCCACAAATATGCCGTACCCTCTTTATAGTGTCATCAAGCGAGGAACATGTGAGGTTCGTTTTGATGGCAGTGTATTTATGAAGATGCAAGATAAGATAAAATCTTTTTATGAAATAGATCACGTTTCTTGAGGATCGTGTTACAAAGAAAATCAGGAATTTTGAAACAGAATACAACTTTTCGACATTCAATGTAAGTTTATTGAGATTTTATTTTTATATTACTTGACCGCAAATAATGAGCTAATTAATTATTGTCGTAGGATTTGAAAAATATTTATGCTAAGTCTGCGAATGAATCACATTTTATCCAAGCAGTTGTTCCTCCGCATATTAAAAATTCGACATATACTGTCGAACTGAGTCCTTTGGGAATTAATCGTTGCCCTCAATCATTACAGGAACTGAAACGAGCGATAAAATGTGTACTCGAGGCTTTAGTCGTGTTGCATCGATCGAAATATGTGCATAGAGACATTCGCTGGGATAATGTTATACAGTCATCAACCAATAGTATGGATTGGATTTTGAACGATTTAGAGCATGCTGGTAAGGAAGGACCTGTTACATACAGACTGGAATGGTGGCCAAATGGTGTTGGTCCGAATCAGGGCCCTTACGATTTTAAATGCGATCTTTATCTTGTCGGCGAGCTCATTAGAACTAGTGGTGTGGACTTGAGCCGTACTGACACATCTTTTATGAATAAGCTTTTAGAGATGGAGAGCCGATTCACAACAATGAAAGCACTTAAAGATATTTGGTTAACTTCTGAATCCTAAACACTACAATTCTTCAATTCAAATTTATGTTAGTACTTGCTTTAATAATAAAAAATAATCATCATAATAATTAGGCAATATCGTTTTATTTTTCATATAGATATATAAGTAATAATTAAATCATTGAAACACGATATATATAATATTACACGAATTTTTGATTTTCTTTGCTGAGGAAAATGATGTTTATCAATATTGAGATTTTTGGGATGGCTCATCTTATTATCACAAATATGGTGCTTTGGTAACAAGGGAGGATATTCCTCCCTTTCAACTGCAAAGCGCCTATTTTCTTAAAATATTAGGAAAAAAATTTTTCCTACGCATTTTTTAAAAAATTAGGATGTCACAAGTTTTAATTCGTATCAATAAAGCAATAAGGGAAACAGTAGCGCAAGAAACCAAAAAAAAAAGAATTGAATTGAACAAACAAGGTTGTTGAATTTGTTGGGGATCGTCTCTCTACATCAATGTTAGTAATCCAAAAGACCAAATTAATTACATAAAATTATTAAAATATTAAAAATAATGTAAGGATAAAAAATGCATATTTAAAATAGATAGAAAGAAATATATATTCCGACAAAGCAAAAAAGAAATAATAAAAAAAACATAAGAAAGTCAACATTGCAACCGACATATCAAAAAAATAAACGAAATGGAATGAATGGAAAATAATTTTTTGTATATTTTTACACATTTGTTCATTACCTTTTTCATTATTGAATTCAACTAACTTAGCTTGCAGCTTTATCACCTGGTCATCCCACTTAATCTTTGTCGTCTCCTACTTCTCCTTTTCTTCCTCCAGTCTTACCAGCTGCCTCTTCTCCTCTTCACTAATGTTGCTTTTCTTATCTTATTCCTCAACTACTTTAGCCATTTCCCATCGTCTTCTCCTTCTTTAAACGTCTGCAAATACTTCTCCGCCTTCTCATAAGCTCCTCTTGCATATTCTAAATCTATTTCGATTCTTTCGTATGTTGCCATTTGATGTTCTACGTGGTGTAGAATCAAAAAATCTTAAAATACCATATCACGTGACTCTTTATAATAAATGAATAAAATTAAAGAAATTATAATATTAAGAGATTAGAAAACAACTAATAGAATAAAGGGTTATAAAGGAAAACAAAATAGCCAGAAAATCATATAATATTAGATGAGTATTTAATTAGAATAATGTAATAAAACACAAATCATCTTATATAACTGTTTAGCAATACATTTATATAGAATACAAAATAACTAAAAAGTAATATAAGTCTTGTGATAAAACTAAAAAAAAGTATAATAACTAAAATATAATATAATAATTGAAAGTAATATGATAATTTAAATATAAAATAATCAGAAATAAAATGATAACTAGAATATTATATAATAACTAGAGAAAAGTATAATAATTAAAATATAATATAGAATAAATCACAGGATCTGAAAAACACAAATAAAAAATTAAAGTATTAAATTAAACATTAAATTAATATATCAGATTATAACCATTATCTTTTGCAAAAATGTTATCATATTTTATATAAATCATATTGATTGGGTTACTTCTAATAACAATAATATTGTAAAAAATAATATTTCTTTCATGATAGAAACATATTGTATAACAAATAGATATTTATTAACAGATTTTATGCTAAAGAGCAAAGAACAAAATATTTGAAGAATTAACTATAGATAATGTAGCAAAAATTATATTTTGTTTAGTATCAAAATATGAAAATTTAAAAGAACCTATCTATTTATGGCTAAAAATTTTGAAGCTGTTTGTAACTTTAAAGGATTTAAAGATATTTTAGCAAATCTCATTAATAATTCTGAAAGATTATCAATCTTCCTGTATATTTGATGAGTAATAAACTTTTATATTTTTATTAATTTTATATACTTATTTAAAATCACATAATTTTTTAATAGATCTGAGTCATTCAATGGTCTATTAACAAATTATGAATAGATCAATTGATCTAGACTAAAAGATCCTGTAGTAATTTAATCTATTGGTTTTTGTATAACCAACACTAGATTAGTATATATCAAAAATCAGCTAAAATTTAATCTTATTTATAATTAATTAATATCCAATTAGAATGATTATAATATTCTAAAGTTATAATAGTATTATTATTTCTAAGGAATGATAGTTTATTATTCTTTAGGTATGATTGTTTTATTGTTTTTAAGTAACAATAGTTTTATTATGCTTAAGACACAATAATTTTATCTTACTTTAGATACGATATTTTATTATTTCTTAGATATGATAATTATCATATCTAAAATACAATTTTTATTGTTCCTTAGGTTCTATAATATCATTATTTCTAAGGTACAATAGTTTTATCATTTCTTTAATATGATTGTTTTATTATTCCTAGATTCAATAATATCATCGTTCTTAAGGAATAATAGTTTTATAATAGTTTTATAATATGAATAAAATAAGTCTGTTGATATTTATTTAAAAAGTTTTAATTTCTTCTTGATAAATACTAAATATATGTCAACAAATTTTTTACATTGTAATTCTAAAAGTAATGTAAATTGCAAACAATATTTAATTCTTAAAGATATTTTTTAAAAAAAATTTTTTTTTTTAAAAATGTTAGAAAAAACATAAATTGAATAGTAAAAAATTTTGATTTAAATAATTTCATTGATCAACTATCCCCTTATTGATGCATTTTTTGTAAAAAAAACTATGACTATAGAACTTTACATAATTAATTTTAGTAGTAATAATTCTCAGGATATAATTTTAGGTTTCTGTTTATAGTCAATAATAGTAATTATTAATTCAGAATCTTTAAAGAAACTAATTAATAATGAAAAAAAAAAGATCTTTCTTAATACCAAATCTTATTAATTATTCTAAACTTTATGTACTCATATGTGTGTTATAAAAGATAAAAAGTTTATAATGATGATCAATATGAACTTAATCTTAACTTTGCATGTGAAAAAGATTTAATATTAGAGTTAAATTGGAAATTGAGATTTCAATTAATTGAGATACCTTTCTTTAAAATCTATTATATCAAAGCCCTATACCTATTATTACTCAAAATGATGATCCACTGTAAATTTTATACATTTTGTTGTTAAATATGAATTAGTAAGAGAATTTCATTATCCATAATATATTAACTTAATTTTAAGGATAGTACATGTTTAATGCTTCATTTTTATATACATTTGAAATTTGATACAAAGGTATTTCATTTCAAAATAATTTTTTTTTTGAAAAATTAATAACATTTATTTCACAATAGTAAATCGATCTAAGGTGCAAACATTTTGTAAAATGGC